CAAGAGTCTAGTAAACATTCCGGATATGATAAAACTTGAAACACGAAATCATAAATTATAATTTAATAAATAATCATAAAAAAATAATAATATAATAATAATAAATTTAATTCAATAATATAATCAAACCAAAAACACTGAAATTTGAAATACAGAGGCAAATTCGCACATTGCTGAGCAAAGTTGCAAAATCGTTTTCAGTGTCTGATGATGAATTTCCCCCACGAATCATTATCACTCAATTCTGCAAGTGGTTCTGATTTACTATCGCTGTTCTAAAACCGCTTTTGACGTAAAGGGATGCTTTTTGGACACCATGGACTTTTCTCAGTTTCCAGGCAGAAAGAACATTCAAAATGCAGGCAGGGCACAGGACAAAGCAGTAGGGACAAAATATATGTGAAATGCATTGAAACAGCAATGACAGCAAAAATGACATTTTTTAAAAATTTCAAATTTCCCGCCGTACGTCCCGACGTCACAGGGACCGGAACACGGAAGCCGGATGCAGGCATCGGCCGGAGGAGATGGCCAGGGATGCTGCAGGGGACACATCGCGGGAGCGAAGGACAAGGTAAGTGCTGCAGGGACCCCCTGAGCAACGCCGCATGGTAAGCCCGAGTGTAGCTTGGGGTTACCGCTCTTGGTATTGAAATTTTACCCCGAGCTACACTCGGGAATACCGCTAAGGAGGTTAAGTTATCTTAGAGTCCTGCTTGTCAGCTTAACCTGCCGACCTTTTATTTGAAAAGTTTACAATTCCCACATGGGTGTGGCCCCTTTCACAATACTGTGCTTCAATGCCAGAAACATTGGCACTGTGGTATCATACATGCCATAGGTCATATATGGCAAAAGTCAAGCTGTGTTTGACTATGGTTACAGAACAATAGACTGACCCAACTGTCAGTGGCATTTGTTTGAGAAGTATCTTCTCAAAAAATCTCCAAGAAACTTGATGTCTGTCTCCAAGACAAGCATACTTTTTTCCTTGCAGTCTGAGGAAATCACTACACATATAATGTGTCTGTGTGTGTGTGTATATATATATATATATATATATATATATACTGCTCAAAGAAAATTAAAGGAACATTGAAAACACATCAAATTTCAATGAGGAAAAATCTTATGCTGGATATCTATACTAACATGGACGTGGTAATGTGTTAAGAACATAAGCATGCCCCATCGTTTCATGGAAATGAAAATGATCAACCTTCAGAGGACTGAATTAAAAACCACCCGGAAAATCAGAGTGAAAAAAAGATACAGCAGGCTAGTCCATTTTGCTGAAATGTCACTGCAGCAACTCAAAATGGTACTCAGTAGTTTGTATGGCACCCACGTGCTTGTATGCATGCCTGACAATGTCAGGGCATGCTCCTAATGAGACGACGGATGGTGTCCTGGGGTATTTCCTCCCAGATCTGGACCAGGGCATCACTGAGCTCCTGGACAGTCAACCCAGCGCCGCGGATGTTTTTATATTGGATTTAGTTTAGTTGAGCATGGGGGCCATTCAATGGTATCAGTTCCTACATCCTCCGGGAAGTGCCTGCATACTCTCCCCACATGAGGCCGGGCATTGTTGTGCACCAGGAGGAACCCAGGACCCACTGCACCAGCATAGAGTCTGACAATAGGTGCAAGGATTTCATCCCGATACCTAATGGCAGTCAGGGTGCCATTGTCTAGCCTGTAGTAGTCTGTGCGTACCTCCATTGAAATGCCTTCCCAGACCATCACTGGTTGGGTCCTCAGGCCACCCTCATGAAGTCTGTTTCTGATTGTTTGGCCTGCTGGAGGTCATTTTGTAGGGCTCTAGCAGTACTCATCCTGTTCCTACTTGCACAAAGGAGCAGATACTGGTCCTGCTGATGGGTTAAGTACCTTCTACGGCCCTGCCCAGCTCTCCTAGAAAAAACTGCCTGTCTCCTGAAATGTCCTTCCATGCCATACTGGAGGAGTTGGACTGCCTGTGCAACCTCTGTAGGGTCCACATATTGCCTTATGCTACCAGTAGTGACACTGACCCCTAGCCAAATGCAAAACTAGTGAAAAACAGTCAGTAAGGATGTGTAGGGAAATGTCAGTGGCCTCCACCTGTAAAAGCAGTCCTGTTTTGGGGGTTGTCTCATTGTTGCTCATCTAGTGCACCTGTTGTTAATTTCATTAACACCAAAGCAGCTGAAATTGATTAACAACCCCCCTGCTACTTAACTGACCAGATCAATCTCCCAGGAGTTTAATGACTTTATGCTATACTCTGATTAAAAAGCATTCCTTTAATTTTTTTGAGCAGTGTTTATATATCAAACAAAACACACCCAAAAGAAAAAACAGATAGACCCGGCGAACACACAACCGATCCCGGTGCTACTAAGAGCAGAATGACATCTCCCTGAGTTATCATCAACTATATGGGCAAGGGTGGGGATGGAGATGACATCATTGCCCAAATTTGGCCAGTTGGGCTCTGATGTTGCGGTGATGTCAGTAGTTCTTAGAGACTCAGTAGATGCTTGGCTTTCTTTGGAACCAGCGGCAGTAGGACATTGCAAAAGTAGTAATTGAGCGCTGGGAAAAATGATAATAGTAATGATAAAAAATAGTAATGATAAAAAAGCCGCTAGCATAAAGGCAACCTCTAAACCCAATATAGAAATATCTAAAATAAATATGCAGCGCTAATATTGATAAATCCGGTGAAGACAAGTAAAATCACATATGTTAGATAGCTCAGTCCTTATAGTGATCAAGCAAAGTGATTATGTGCAGATATTCAAAAGTCCATGGTCAATGATAATGGTGACTCTTGTGTACTTGTGAATGTACAAACAATGCACTAACCAGAGAGCGCATTAATTGCGCATGGAGCAATTAAGACCTGCTCCTGGTGCTCTGGACTTGTAATACCAGGCAGATGTCATCCGCAGGTCGGCCACTAGATGTCCTCAGTAATCATTCCACCAGGGCCATCAACAGCAGGAGGGGGGGGGAAGTCATATATCAATCCAAATCCTCAGGACCTTCAAAAACGGGCTTACATGGAAATAATGAGCCCCAAGAAAGCTTCTAATAGTGTAGTAGTTCTTTAATGGTCAAAAATCCAGCATAAAACAAGTAAATCAAAACTTACATCAGGATCTGCTAAGGCCACTAGATGTCCTCAGTAATCATTCCACCAGGGCCATCAACAGCAGGAGGGGGGGGGAAGTCATATATCAATCCAAATCCTCAGGACCTTCAAAAACGGGCTCACATGGAAATAATGAGCCCCAAGAAAGCTTCTAATAGTGTAGTAGTTCTTTAATGGTCAAAAATCCAGCATAAAACAAGTAAATCAAAACTTACATCAGGATCTGCTAAGGCCACCAATCGGATGGCCTTGTGGTATATGCACACAGGGTCAGGGTCAGGTTAGCAGATCCTGATGTAAGTTTTGATTTACTTGTTTTATGCTGGATTTTTGACCATTAAAGAACTACTACACTATTAGAAGCTTTCTTGGGGCTCATTATTTCCATGTGAGCCCGTTTTTGAAGGTCCTGAGGATTTGGATTGATATATGACTTCCCCCCCCTCCTGCTGTTGATGGCCCTGGTGGAATGATTGCTGAGGACATCTAGTGGCCGACCTGCGGATGACATCTGCCTGGTATTACAAGTCCAGAGCACCAGGAGCAGGTCTTAATTGCTCCATGCGCAATTAATGCGCTCTCTGGTTAGTGCATTGTTTGTACATTCACAAGTACACAAGAGTCACCATTATCATTGACCATGGACTTTTGAATACCTGCACATAATCACTTTGCTTGATCACTATAAGGACTGAGCTATCTAACATATGTGATTTTACTTGTCTTCACCGGATTTATCAATATTAGCGCGGCAGTAGGACATTGTCATATTTGGAAGCGGTAGAAATACTGCGATAAAACCAAAAAGTATAAAGATTTGGTGGCTGATAAGGTGAAGCCAGGTGTAAACTTACTTTACAGATAAAACCAAATCATGTGCAAGAAAAGTATAAAAAAAAAAAACTGGACTTATGCTTGTACATGATTTGATTATTGAATTCAGCACAGCTTCACCTCATTCACTAAGCTACGTGAATTTTCTCATGTGCAAGCAAAAATGATATTTTTTTTTTCCCTTGCATTCATTGCAATGTGCTGTACTCCGTTAGAAAATCAATGTCAATTTGTTTAGTCCAGATTTCGGCTTAAATTTGGGATAACACCTGCTTTATATTTGTTACAAACTCCTATTCATATGGAAACATGGAAATACCATCTAGTATAAAACTATGGGATAAACAATTACATTGCCCATCGCATACCATTCTTGCCTTCCACCTAAAGCAAATCATTCAGCACAGCATTTCTCATTCAACACAACTGCGTTCGGCCACAGCCACGCTAAGCGGCACCACATGGGAAGCTTTCCTTTGCCATGTGTCTCACTTATTTAGCAGACTCTAAATATATCCACTGGGGAAGAAATAAAAATGTTTTTAAATTTGTTCGTATACCACCTACAGTCTGTTACAGATGAATGAACAACACACAGTGTGAAACTTTGAAGAGAGAAAAGCTTTTATTGTATGAACATGTAAATGAGTTCTCAGAGTGGTCATTGTGTTTCTTCTCTCCGACTTTCATTTTAAAGGAAATTCTCTCTCAGCCTACAGTCTGCAGATTGGCAATGCTTTTCAACTTTACATATTAATGGGAATTTGAAATAAGCCTGCAACATTTTCAATCACTTCTAACATTGTTTTTAACAGACTCTGTAATAGCCCATAAATAATTCATTGTTCGTGGTCAACCAGGTACGTTGTTAACAATTAAAAAGCTGTTCTTTGAATTCTAAGGTACAGAATTTATTTTTATTTTATATTAGTTGTAGCCAGACCTGTCAGAGCTAGAAGAATTCTTAGATGTCACAGTAGACTGATTACTTCTAGAGCATTGGAGATATTGATTCGCCTACCTAGATCTTTTCATTAAAGGGAACCTGTCATGAGAGGAGTGCATGAGTTCTTGTCCTGATCGCCTTGTGAATATATCAAAATATTTAAATCTCCAATCTAGTTGTATTCTGATAAATCAAACCATGTAGGCAGGTGGAACCAGGAAGATGTCCCCTTTAAGGGTTACTTCCCCTCCTGGGGGATTACTTCTGTGTAGCCCACAGGTGTCAAACTGGCGACCCTCCAGCTGTTGCCAGACTACAATTCCCATGAGGCATTGCAAGACTGACAGTTACAAGCATGACTCTCAAAGGCAGAGGCATAATGGGACTTGTATTTTCGCAACAGCTGGAGGGCCGCCAGTTTGACACCCCTGGTGTAGCCCTATTTACGGTGGGTAGAGCTGGGGCTCAAGATCTGTTCTAAAAGGCACGAGAGAGAAGACTGCTCTGGAGTCCCATGCTTGGAATTATTCCTGTGAAGAGAGGGGGAAAGGGCAGCTGGAGGAGGAGATGTTTTGGTCCTTCTCTTTATTCGACCTTCTGGGGAGTTCAGTATACAGTCTTGAGGGAAAAAAAGTATTAATGGATGTATGGGACCTCATCCATATGCCAGAAAGAATACAATAGCCATTGTTTCCTTTCCAGGGATGGGTGCAGTCAGGGGTGGACTGACCATTTGGAAACTCGGGCACTGCCCGAGGGCCCGGGGTCAGTAGGGGGCCCCATGAGATGCCCCTGGTACCTTTTTCATAGGCTTTTTTGAGTTTGGGCAAGGACACAGGGGCCCCATGATCCCCTATTGCCCAGGGGCCCCGTTTGTTGTCACTCCGCCCCTGACTGTATCACCCCTCTCACCGCTTGCTTTAACCCATTGAACCCTGCACTAGCGAGCTGCAATCATGTGCCCATGAGTTGTCAGTCCGCCCCTGGGTGCAGTCTGCTATGCTCTAAGGTAGATTTATTGTTTGATTGAATTAAAGTGGTTCTAAAGGTTGAAAAGTAAAAAAAAAAAAAAGTTTAATACTTACCTGTTCTGTGCAATGATTTTGCACAGAGCAGCTCTGATCCTTTTCTTTTTGAGTCTCCGCCGGCACTCCTTGGTTCTTCGCCCTGCTGAGTGCCCCCATTACAGGCCTCTTGCTATGAGGGCACTCGAGCAGGTCACGCTGCTTTAAACCAATACTGTCCATTCACGCATAAATCTTGGCTCGGCAACCATCTCCCTCCTCATTGGCTGTGATTGGCCTACATAAGAGTGAAACTCGAAACCCATTGGGCACTGATAATGAAGCATTGATGATTTAATTGTCTTCATTATTTGAATTATGTTCAGAAGAGTACAAATGTTAGTGACAATCTTCCAGCCTAAACCTGTTTTTATCATTTTCTGCTTTAAAGATCATATCAATAAAGACATAAAAGGGTTTTTTATATTTATTGTTTGTGTAATTTGATGACCTCAAAGTCCCATATTCTCATAACTACTTTTTCCACATATATTTTGGGATGTTGACACTATTGGGAGTCTCAAATCACACATAGCACAATATACACATTTCTGAGGGATTTTGAGCAAGAGAGTAGAAGTACAAAAGGACCTCCTGAGATGAGTCGCTAAAATGTGTATTTAATGTATGACACTATGACTCACTATGCTCAACTATGACTATGTTCTTGCCAATATTTGGACTTTTATATTTCTTTACTGCACTTAAGCAAGTAAAAAGTTTAAATACAAGAGTGTGCCTCCGTGTGAATATATAGAAAAATATCTATTACAGTAAATGCCTGGAGAATGGAGCGGGGATCTGTGTTTCTGGTGCAAGCCTGGTCATCTGAGACCTGGAAGTTGATATGGGCTAAGGTGTGAGCAAACCCGTGGAAGAAGAAGTTAACCATACATGGCCAGGAGGAGTGAAAGTTAGGCCTCAGACCCTCATCCATACACAAAGTAATGTAGGGTTTGGGCTAGGGCTGCAGTTCTTCTTAGAGAATAATCAACTTCTGCCAAATCTTAACACTGGCATTAGATATATTGGAACTTGTAATTTAGATGCTTTCTAGGTGTCTTTTTCCTAAACTGTTCTACACATTTTTTTTTTTCATATTTCCACATACACACATAATCTCCCTCCAACTAATCTCTAGGTTACATTTTAAAAAATTAGTTTTTAAATTGAAATTGTTGTCCTAAGTACATCCAGACTGCAGTGCCAGAAGGTCCTTGCTCACTTGGATGCCTGGCTTTAAGAAGAACTCATCAGAGGAGTACTCGCAGTACTGAAAACTCCAAGTAATGACGTCAGGTTGTCATGATAAGTCTGTGGTGCTCCAGATGAGCAAAAACAAGGGAAAAAAGGGGCTAAAAGCCACGAGAGAGTTCCTTCTAAAAGTATTCAGTTGTATGTATGTGAGAAGTATGGTAAAAAGTGTGGCAAGAATATACTAACATACATAAGGTTGCTTGATATCCATCCTAAGGTCAAGCAACCTTTTTTAAAGGATAAGTTAACCTTTTAGACAAACACAATAAATGCACATTTTTTTTGCAGGTAAAAAAATGTGCATTTATTATTTCTGTCTATAGGAGCCTGGAAAGCATTGCACCAGCGATCAGCGATCCTGAAGACCTGTCAGAATATTTTCTTGCTGTACGGGATGTATGAGCAAGCAGATATTCTGACAGGAAGCCTCAATGAACTACCACGGAACTCCATAGCACCATGGTAGTTCATTGAAAACTACAAGCCCACAGCCGCTAAGGCTATCAGGACTTGCAGTTCATTCATTCACAAAAGTTCATGAACGAATGATACGGCCCGGTTGGCGGAGCCCCACATGACCAGGCTGGTTTTAAATTTGACAGATAGTGCGGAGAGACTTCTCCCCATACTATCTGTAAGGGGGGCAGTGGGCATGGCTGCAGCTATGGGAACATGTTACATGCTCCACCCTAAAAACGGGTGGAACATGTAACATGTTCCAAAAGGTGAACTTATCCTTTAAGCTGGACAATTTTCGGCAAGTGTATACAGCTGTCTGTCCAACAGACGCTTGTCTAAGAACCATCTTTCGTCAAAGGGACATGCTGGAAAACCAGCATCTGATCAGCACTTGCAGCCAATGGCTGTGAGTCCCGATCAATGTTTTCTGATGGAGACAATACAAATACAAAGGCACCAACATGGTTTGTGTTGGTACTGCAATCTGTCAATATTTTGTTGTTCAATCCATGTGATTGAACAAAAAAAACTAGCTCTATGTGCTTGGCTCCATGCAGAGTGTTTCAAGGGCTACCAGAAATTCTTGCGCTGTGCTAGCTGACGATCAGATCTGGTGAACCATGGTTAAATGGGTGAGGCCAAAAAAAAAAACGGAACTTGTGTGGTTAGCAGAGGCACCCATTAAATAAAAAGGTAATTCCAAGTGGATTCTTCCAGGTCTGTATTTATTGAACATAGAAATGGGTTAAAACACCAGGAACACATTTTGTGTTTCTTTAGTGGCCCACTTGTAAGGTGTACATTACACTAGATAAATTCATAAAAATATGACAAAAATATGTTGTCATGATGTTCAGGTCTCTACAAACAGTAGCTACTAGAGGCCTTTGAGAGGTAATGTTAGATTGGATTTTCACAACTAAGGAAGTGCCATGGAGATTCACATGATGGCAGACTGGGGCGAGTATAAAAGTGTCTTAAAAATATTGTCAATAGGAAGGAATGTGTAGAGTGGGGGCATTTACTTTCTTCGGCAAAGGCCTGGAAGTAATGTTGCGCAATCCAAAGATTCCATGTGATGCTGAAACTACAGACATACACACTTGGGGAGGCTCTGCCTCCACTACATAGCTAACTTGGCTATGTTCCATTTAGAGCCTACAGGGAAGACAGAATACGAAAGCTGTACATTGTAAATTTAAAAGCATACGTTTCCTTTTGAAGGTGTCTGGTTCTTTAATGAAGCAGTTACCCATTTTTATCTCTTTTGATCTTGCCACTCTGTCGTTTCATTTCTCCTTCACATTTCAGTAAAAGTATTTTCATTTCCACTTTAAATATTGGCAATTCCTCCCCTTGTCACCTCTAACAACGTGGAGAAAGTTTTCAACAAATTCATGTGTAAATGAGGTCAATTTAGTTTTGTGCCATTCTCTGTTCCACTTAGCCCTTGCTCAGAGCACATTATAGAGGAATAGAAGGAAAAAAAATGATTGCAAACTTTTACTTAAATGTGGTCCCTTCAAAATAACCTGTTCTTTCCTTGACCTGTGGGTCAACAGTGTGCTGGAAACAGATATAATGCAGCTTTATTAATAATTGAGCCATAAAGCTCACTAGGGCAAAAGCAATTCATTACGAAAAATAATGAAAGCTTTAACTGGAAATGTGAGTGCTGATTGTCCACTGAGTCTCCCACAGTACAATAACATTCAGGCCATTTCTCAGTGAATTATTAATACTCTTCTTTCTACAGTGTTACAGTCAGGACAATGAATTCTGTTCCCTTGTGAATAGATGTTAAGGCCTTTTATACCAAACCTCTTGCAGACATTGTTGTTTGGGTTGAACTCAAAGGAGAACTTCTTGTTCACATCCTTAATAGAGATGAGAAACTCTTTAAAAACTACTCCAAAATGGGACACAGTTGGCAATTCCTACCAGATTAACGTAATTACGGGAAAAATTGCAAAACTCCATAATAAAAAATCCTCAAGAAGCACCACTTAAAGGAAACTGTGCAAAAGGAGGATAGGAGTTGTCATTGCTGATCCCTCTTTTGATTACCACAAAGGCGCTTCTCTTCACCAGTTACATCATAATATACAATGCAGGATTACATCAATGCAGGTGTTAAAGGATTACCGATGGTTGAGTGCAAGGTATGACAAAGATGCAGCCTGCACTATCTGTATCAAGAGGAGAGCACAAACACTTGTTGCTCACTTGCTCATTCCAAGTTTAATGCGTTAAATAGAAATGGATAACATTTTACAAATAAATACTTTCTTAATAGTGGCAGCACAGGCCACATGGAAAAGTGC